CTAAATGTAAAGATTGTCTGCGTAAACCTGAACAGTTCCAACCCGGTCTTACTGTGAGACCGGGTTGACGCGTCACGCTTGTGCGTAATCATATCGGCGCTTTCTGAGCTGAAGAGGATGTGAGATTCTGGGATTCTCCTCAGACGGCTCCTGGATGTGTCGCCACATTGGAGACAGGAACAAGCGCTATTCAGCCAAAGTTTCATAATCAGGGAACATTTTCTAAGTGACAAGTCTCGCTTCAGTCGGAGGAATCTTCCCACATGCGCTCTGGTTCTGTGACGCGCTCCAAGCCCCTCTCCACATCTTCAGCTCGCTGTGTACCTTATGTAGTACACGCTGACAGCGAGCTGCGCTGAGCAGTGTCCAGCTCAGATGTTCAGATGGAATCTTTTCTTGGGTGATTTAGCTACATCTGCGATGTGCGAAACGAATGAAGTGTCAGTTCGTCTGCATGCGTCGGGGTAATTCTTTCTATTCTTTCTCCGTCTAAATAAATGGTCAAATACGGGAACTGTCCGGTCAACACAACACAAGCCCTGCTTTTAACTGTTCTGTTTTCTTGTGAAAATTGTTGCAAAGAGATATAATTAAACTTGATTAACACCAGAGCCAGGCGCACTGCGTCGTTATCTCCATCGCTGTAAACGAGGGAAAAACAAAATAATCGGATCCTTTTCTGACCTTCCCCACCTACAAAGTTTAATTACAACAATCAAACGTGACAGAGCCTGGATTTGTATTCTGAACAGTCTAAACATGTTTTAAAAAGAAACGTATGACAAAAGTGGCACCTGCTCAGTAAAACCACCAACAGGGTGAAAAATATCAAAATATTGAAGGCAGAGACGGGCTACAGCTTCTGGATCCACTTTATATAAATCATTTTATTGATTATCTTCTTATGAAAGATAACTTTGACGTACACGAGCGACCGGTACTGGCTGCTGTCACCTGTTGTGATTGGTTAAAGCAGCTCTCTGCTGTCTGAGGGTAGGCCCCGCCCACAACGCCGCGGCTGTTGTGGCTCCCAGTGTTTTCTTTACTGTGGGAAACGGGTAATGATGGCTCTTTGATGGTAACAGGTTGCCGACCCCTGGTTTAAGTGTTCCAATTTTTTTTTTTTATGAATTCGATTAAAAATAAAGGCGCCAGGCCAGGCCCGTGTCCGAGGTAATTACACAGTCGTTGGACCGAAGCCCGACCCGAGGGCCGTCGGGCCGGGCCGACCCGAGGGCCTAGGGCTTCAGTGCAGGGCTCTAGACTGGCGGCTTAGCACCGAGTCTCTCCGGATGCCCGAGCTCTGCTCCTGGTTCACGTGGCAGGACTTTTACGTTTTTGGACAATTTTCAGAACCTTTAGCGGTGATGAAAACGTCACTGACACAACAGTTTTGGGCCAACAGTGTGTGGGAAACCCTACACACACATGGATGGGACTTTGGTGTAAACAAACATGACTGAGGAGCAGCGTGCAACATGCTTTCATCACCTGGCTCACATTTCATTTTGAACTAAAGATTCAAACCAACATAAAAGATCCAAGCGATCCCGGCGTCCTTCCATGGTCAGAGTGCTCCCATAACACACAGCAGGAATATCTGATATGATTATCTTAACAGCTATTACGGTAATTAGACCATTATCACCCTGCCGTTTTAACCGAGCCCGGCCACCCTGTGCAGAAGTCTCACGCTTGTATTTGTGACCTTTTGGTTGTTGTCAGAACAAAGATGTCTACTGGAGAAAACATTTTAAGTCATTAATTCTTTCCATTAGTTTAGTTTGAAATGCAGATGAGTTTTAACCCCCTGAAGTCAGTATAAAGCCCTGAGGGCTCGTGTCTGAGTGGGTCGGTGATCCAGGCAGGCTGATGCGACGTGTCACCGAGCACGGTCCCGACGGGCCTCATCACGCTCGTGTTTCCCCACTTTGGACCGTGTTTTCTCCATCTCTGCATCTGCATTAACACAGCCCGGCCGGGGATCCCCTTCAGGCTGCAGCTGTTTGACACAAACACTTATCAGATAATGTTATCGTGGCGCCACCGTGGTCAGACCAACGCTGGGAACACACGGGGTCTGATAAGAGGCAGCTGGCGGGGTGATGTTTTTCCTCCGCCCCACTGGACCAGAGAGTCCGGCAGCTACGAGCCAGACGGAGGAGTCGGGCTGAGTAAACAGGATAAAGAGAGATGCTGTGGCTTTAATGTATTTGCTTTGGTCTTGGACTCTGTGTAATGAATGGAATCTGAGTGAGCACGGGAGTGGGAGGGGCTTACAAAGTGTTAGTTCAGCTCACTGTTACAACAACGGTTGCCATCCTTGGGGCCTCGCTGAGGCGTGTGAGCAGATTAGCCTTACGCAGCTGTAGAAGTCAGTACCCAGATCTCAAACCACCTCAGACATCTTTATAATTTGCTGCCAAGCAGAAACACCTTCTCAAAACGTCCTAAAGCGTGTCTCTTCTGCACATTCATCCGTGTTTGTTTTGGTTTTACATTTTCTTGTTCTTACACAGTTTCGTTCTAAAGAGTGGTTCACTCATAAGGATGGTCATGCAGATGTTCGACCTGTTGAAACCATTTCAGGTGGTATTTGGTCACTCTGAGTTTAACAAGCAGGCTAAACGTGAAAAATGTATTCTACCCCTATTTCCTGCATTAGCCGCTGATAGAAAATGGACTAGATTAGAAAATCCTGACAGATCTACGTCACACTGCCACTAACATTCGTGGACTCACCCATCTTGGTTCACGACGGGGAAGGCTGTTGTTGGTTTAGCGTCCAGGAAACAGCAGAGAACGTCCCATCTAATAGAAGCTAACCATTAGCATTAGCCACTCCACCACACAGCAGAACTCCTCCAGGCTTGTGTTGTTTGTGGAGATAAATCATCAACGTTGCAGAGCAAACAGAGTCAGTGATAGAGTTGTGTTGCTGTTAGCCAATCAGAGGAGAGATGTTTGAGAATTGGAAAAAAAACCTCAAAATCCTGCCGTCTTCTGCTCACCTCTGCTCTGGCTCACTGCTAGTTCCTGAAACAGAAGCGCCAGAGCTTTTTCTCCATAAAGATTGATTCATATGGCATTTCTTTATACCAGAGACCTCCAGCCTAGAATCTAGACCGTCATTGGCCGAAGCAAAATTGATGGTCTAGCAACGCTCCATCGGAAGTATTGTGGCTAGCCAATCACAGCGCGTATATTTAGAAAAACAGTGAATTATTTTATGTTTTTATCAGTTCTTCCACAATGATTTGGCAGACTACTTATTGACTGAAACCTGTAGCAGTCCAATCACAGCGCTCTGTTGGTTTTGGTGGGCCTCAATCAGCCAGGTGAGTGGGATGTTCCAACAACTGAGCAAAACTAAGATGGCCACGGCTCAGTGCTGCGCCTGATTACCATGATGGCCCTGCCGCGTGTGGTGTGTTGGGAGCACTGGTCTCTTGATCCGGCAAGATTTCCCATCTGACCAGGAAAATTTCACATCAAAGCTTACGGCACAGTTCACATCCAGATCCAAATGAAGTTGACCCAGATCAGTTATTGAATTTCAACAGAACATGTTTTCACTGGGCTGCGTGGCAGAGAGTTGCCATGAGGTGAGAAATGTTTGCATGTTAGCATGTTTTCCTCATGCAAATGTGGGTTTTCTCAGGGTACTCTGGTTCTTCTGAGACAATATATGTACCATGTATAGAGTTTTGCTAAATGTATTAAGTGTTTTCAGTAAATCTCTTCAGGCAAAGCTAATCCCAACTCTGTAATCACTGATTTAAACCCTGACTTTACATTTCTTGCTGTTTCAGAGCTTTATTTGAAACACACACACACACACACACACATATGTATATATATATATATATATATATATATATATATATATATATATATATATATATATATATATATATATATATATATATATATATATATATATAGATAGATAGATATACATATATATATATATATAGATGTATGTATATATATGTATATATATATATATGTGTATATACATGTATATATGTTTATATGTATGTATATATATACACACACACATATATATATATATATATATATAATCTCTAAACCCTCCTTTCCTTTAAGCATTCTTCCAGCTGTGATGAAATGCAGGAGTGATGAGCGTTGACTGCATGCTGGGGTCCAGCATCTACTTAGATTACTGACTTTAACATGAAAACTGGTTCGATTTTGCTGAAAGCCGGGGACATGATCAATATGATGCCCACAAGGGAACACAACTGTAGTTCTACAATTATTCGGCTTTCACAGCAGGTTTCTCTTCTTCCCTTCAGAAAAACAATCGCTCTTTGTGCTCGACTGTTGCAAGGCTGCAGAAATTAAATCACACACTCGTTTTAGTGATGTTGGAAAAGACCGAGCAGCAAGAGGAAAAGAATAGAAACGGAAAAGGGAGCAAAACGCTTCAGCTGTTTCACACAATCTTCCTCAAAAACAAAAATGCACTTTTACACTCGAGTTTATGTGATTCTGGTAAACCAGGAAGTGGAATGTAAAGCACAACTCAACCAAAACATTAAATTATCTGTATGAGCAGGACAACTTAACATACCACCTGATAATGATCTTATCAGGAATATCTATGTCTATCTATTTTAATTCAAAAGTTCAATAAATTGTTGGAGTATTTTTGTTTTTCAAAAATAATGATATTCTACCCAAAAGTAGCCTCTAAATATTTGTCTTTTAAAAAACACAGTCATTGCTGTAGAGTGTAAAATCTGATTAAATAAACAGTATTACAATATTAAAATTACAATGTTTTAATGGTGTCAGAATTCTCTCATAAATATTATTTAAATGGATGTATTTTATTTGGTTTAATTCATTTTTTATCTCACAAAAAAAGTTGGCAGTACAAATTTGTCTCCAGAAGCTGAATTGTAAAGTTATAATCCAAAGCAAACAGTGGGATTAGGGTGCATCTCATTTGCATTCAGCAGTTGTTTGTTTTTGAGGTTTTCTTTGGCTTCAGAGCTGCTGGGATGGATCATAGGACGTGCTCGCCCCCTGGTGGATAACTGGCTTCATTGCAGGAGTGGTTTCACTAATATTTGAGTGAGAAAAAATGTTACTTCATGAAAAAGAAATCTACGTTGATGCTTCTATTTTCTCTACAGAATGCTACTGATGCACAGATGTCATATAATGGTTGTATTTATTTTATTTTTATTTGCAAACAAATAGCAAAAATTACATGATGGAAAATAGCAAAAAAAAACAATCATCAAACAGTTTAAACACATTTTTCACAACAGAAGGATAAGTTTTATTTACCAAACAGTAAAAAAAAGATGGTCACCAATAACTCATCTTTGACATATTAATGAAAACCCATAAATATTGACCGTATAGAGTCCAGTGGAGCAAACAATATTATCGTTAATCCCCAGTAAAACCTGTTAATCTATAATCCCGATGGCCTGGTGTTGTTCTCTTTAGTCCCTGTGTAAGGCTTGGCCAACAACACACAGGTCCGGATGTGATGCAGAGCGTGGGGTTGATCTGATGTCCAACTGGCTGCCCCATAAATCCTCCTCTCTGGTTGGTTCGTCGTCCAGCCTGTAAAAAAAGTCCCCTCAGTGTCGCCCTCAGTAAAGAAGGAAAGTGCCGTTATTCTTATACTAACTTTGTTGTTTGTTTGTTTGTTTGTTTGTTTGTCTAGCTTTAGCCAAAACTAAGTGAAAGCTAGAACATTACAAACATGCATGTTTTACAGAAAGAAGGTCATCTTACCCCTTTGAACATATTGCTGGTTCACTCCCACAAGTCTCAGACACTGATGTGCCATGAGACCGTCGTGTCCCACTCAGACTCGGCCTTCGATCTGATTGGCTGCGGCGGACAAAGGGTCGAGGTGCTTGAACAGAAACGGGGAACCTTCCTCGACCCCCCCAGAAGGTTGAGAGAACAGAAACTCTGGTAGACGTCCATGCTTGTGGTGGCTGTGGAACTGAACAAGACTTGGCCTCAAACATGGATGATGAAACTGGACAGAAGACTGAACGAGCGTTGTTGAACCCCCGAGCATTAGATGGGTCTTCACTGCTACTCTGTCTAAGAAGCCTCTGGACCTTTGGCGATGCTGGTGGAGACGGGGCTTTTAAAGAGAATGGGGAGCATGAGTTTGAGTTTAAAACCATCTGCTTTGGGAAGGTTGGGCTGGGGAGACTTCTCTGAAGGGCTGGTAGTGTAGGAAGAGTCCTGTTCACAAATGGAGCGGTGGATGAGGGTGGTGTAGATTCTCTTTTCAAACTGTGGGGACTTGGGAGTCTTCGATGTAAGCTGCCTGGGGTAGAAGGTGTGGAAGGTAACATCCTTCCTCTAGAGACAGGCGGGGTGGCCGGTGGTAGGCTGGCAGCTACTGCAGGAGGAGGCACTGTGGATGCTGTGTTGTCAGGTTCAGGCACTGGAAGGTCTCCACCATGCTTTAAATCAGGTGGTTCTGCTTGAACTTTGGTTGCTGCTAAACAACTTGATGACGATTTCTCTGAGGACTGTCGTAGGTTTATGATCTTCCTGGCTTGCTGGCACAAGGAATTGGTTTCCATCCCGGGATGAGCTTCTGGTTGGCTAACCTTTGATGGATCTGGGTCATCCGGTCTAGCGGTAGAAAATACCTTTGTGGATTGTGGAAGGCCTCCTTTACTTGGCAGTACTGTAACCGGCTGAACTGAAGCCTTCAGCCGTTGGGATACTGCAGCTCTTCTTAACACCGGTGACTTTCCTACTTTTGCAGCAAATTCCCCTGCTGCAGTCAATCCATTCTGGGCACTTTCAAAAGAGTTATCCATTAGGACTTCCAGCGGAGGTGGAGGAAGACTATCCAGATCTAGGTAATCTGTTTTCTCTGACGTTGTCGACTCAGGCCTACAACTTGTCAGGCCAGCACTGAGCACAGCTTCAACATTTCCTAAACCAGGAAGGACTGGAACACCACATCTTTGGATACCTTTCAGTGGCCCAGGAACTTTTGGACCTTCTCTTTCCTCGATTCCTTGACTGAAGGTATCTATCAGTTTTTTGACTGAATTCCTGCCTCTCTGAAGGCCAGAGGATGGCCGTGGCGATGAAGGGGGACTAGGCGGTGGGGTGGCTTTTATTGGACCATCTGAAGTTTTCTTTCCTTTCTGTGAGTCTTCTTCCAAGTCTTTGGTCAATCCCTCTTTTTTAGTAGAGCTCTTTGTAAGGCTTGTTTTGTTATTAGGTAGTTGGGATTTACTGTCCCTATCTTGTAAGGTGTATTTGCGATTTGTTGCTGGAGACTGAGCTGATGAGTTTCCTTGATTATGTCTAAGGGGAGCAGTCCTTGAGTTGCCACCCATCTTGCTTTTGCCCATCTTCTGTAACCTTTGGTTTAAGTCCCTCTGTGTCCTCTCCAGCTCGAGCAGCGTAGGATCTTCACCTCTGCTTCTGAGGGATTCTGCCGACCGGGAGCGTTGTCCTCTTGCAACTGGGCTCTTTTTGACTCCTGGCCTCTGAACAGCCGCTGATGTCTGAGGCCTCTTTGGAGATTGTAGCTCCTCATCTGTCCATTCACATCCAGTGGTTTTGGAGCCATTTGCCACTCTTGCATTGGCGTTGGTTTTCTGTTTTTGTACAAACTGTATCTTACCACTTATGGCATTCTTCATTTTGAGAGTCATTTCTACATTTTGAGGATTCTCTATGCATGTTTTAGGTAGGCGATGAGGCGGTTTTGTGCCACTGAGCGGTGAAGATTTAGATCGTACTCTAAGGACATCTTTCATGACTCCCACTTCTCTGTCTGCTTCCTCATTGTCGTTGTCATCCTCTTCCCCATCATCCAAGGAGACGGATCCTAACAGGGAGTCTCTTGGGTCACTAGGTGTTATGGTACATGTAGAACTGAGTGAGTTAAGTGAGGTGAGGGAAACACTTGGGCTTATTTGGGTCTGATACTTGCGCCTCGACAATCCACTATTGTTTGTATAGGTGTCCATGGGACTGCCAGAGCTTCTGTTTGTCCCACGAGACCCACAGCTCTCTCGTCTATGACCTTTTTCAGATCCATTGAGGGAATCATTCTCAGCCCCAATTCCGCTGTCCTCGCTAAAGAGAGCAGAATCCTCTGGTCCAGGCTTTCGCAAAGAAGCTATTTCAATACGGGTCAAGAGATGCAGCAGTCTGTTCTCCAGCGCATGCTTCACTTTCAGTTTCTCTTCCAAAAGATCTGACACTGAGGCAAAATATTCCACTGCCTCCTCCAAAGCAGAGTCCCCAATCCCACCAACAGTCCGACTGACGTTCCTCATTCTCTGTGTGGTGTACTGAAGCAGCTGCTGCAACAAATCTGGTGGGGGCTCGGTGTTAGCAGAGCCGGGCTTACGAGCCGGAGAGGAGGAGAGGTTTTTCATTTGGCTCGGCCAAGCTAGATGTTCTCCGTTTTCTTTCAAAAGTTTTTCACCTTCTTCTGCCATCTCTTCCAGTCCTTGAATGATTTCCTCATAGCGCAGAGCCATGAAAGCCACCATTGGTTGCACAAGAGCCTGAGTTTGGGTGGCTTGTTCCAGAAGTCCAAGCAGACAGTCATACTTGTTCATGCTGGGGTTCAAAAAGGCATAAGCAGCTTGATGAGCTTTCACCAATGGCTCCGGAAAATCCACTTTTTGATCTGAAGATGGTTTGCTTTTATCTTTGTTGTTCTTTTTGGGAGTTTTCGCCCCTTTGGCAGTTTTCCGTGTTCTTTTACCGGGTTTTTTATCTGCTAAGTCCTGTTTGTCGACGCTTTTGTCTTTTTTCAGTGACGCCGCGCCGTTGACTTTTACCTGATTTTCCAATTTATCTGCGTTTGCTGCTTCCATGTTCACTTGTTCAGGAACGGGTCGCCTTTTTAGTGGGGTCATTTGAGCCTCTTTCTGAGATACTTGGACGTGTGACGGTCCCGTTTTCTCCTTTGCATCTACATTTGTAGATCCTGTTGATTTTTTACTTTCTCCTTCATGCTGAGAACTTATTTCTTGAGGCACAGCGGGGAGCATCCTCCCCCTCCTCATGGGACCTAAAGTGGCAAAGTGACTACCTTTGGATGGTGAGCAGCCCATTTTCAAATGCGATATGTTTTCTTGGAGAGCGAACCAGTAGAAGAGACCAAAAAAATAAATAACCAAGTCCTTAGCCACCTGCCGTGTCTGTCATTTTCAGATGGTTGAGGCTGGCGAGTCTAATGCAATCCCTCTCAGCCAGGAGACTGCCAAAACAAAATGTGAATAAATCCATATCAAAAACTGCTTCCACCTGTCACAGATCAGGAAAGTAAATCCACAAATTGGCGGTCACGTTTATTAAAATTTCCTTGCAGTTTGAAAAGCATCCCTCCGTACCTCACAAAGGACAAGCAGCCAAGAGGATTAGTGAGGCTTTCAGTGAACTATTCTGCCTGAACATATGTCGCGCTGAAGCGAATAGCACTCACCTAGTTGTAAGAACATAATCTCATTTTGGTAATGAGGGCTGGCCTAAGGTTGCTTTTTATAGCATGCTAAATAATATCTTACTGTTTAGCTCCTGTGGTGAAGCAGGAAGAAAGAAAAATAGCACGCTTGACTAAGAATGAAAGTGTTTGTTTCAAACAGTAGGAGTTAGAAGGAATTGCTTTCCGTCATATGATGTCTTCAGAACCAGAACTTCTTCAGATTAAGTAGTAACTGAGAAACAGAGACAAAGCCATATGTTGTATTTTCAAACCGTCTCAAAAGACTGGTTTGACATCCGGTGCGGTGTATTCTTCTGTGTATTGTTTAGAGCTGCCACTCTAACTCCACACAAGAAAAAAAATTATAACAATAAAAATAAATAAAATAAATTTTTAATAAATTATATATATATATATATATATATATATATATATATATATATATATATATATATTCGATATTTTTTCTTTTTGATATATTTTATCTTCTGGTGCTTAGCAGTGATGTTAAAGTGATGGTGATGAAAATAAATGTTCAAAGAATATAACAGTTCTTTACAAAAAAAACTGATCAAACGTGTTTTCTTTTCAACTCTCTCCATAAATTATAGAAATCCTTGTAAACATCTGAATAAAATCCCTTTTTAATGACTTTCTGCATATTTTTTACATAAATTCCGGTTCCAACACTTTCTAAATGTTTTTGATAATTGAGAATTAAAAAAAACTTTTCATGCTGGAAGACGCTTAATCCTATGTTCTGTTATATTGTTCTAAGCACAATAATGTAACTTTTGTGATTTAAAATCATGCTCTGTTGTATTTTAAGTTTTCTCTGTTCACAAAGTTGTTTTTGTTTACAATGTTGTACGAATGTTTGTTCTTCAATAAAGTTTTTCTTCCAAATAAAAAGAAAAAAACTGCGTCTTGTCATGGCGTGTGCAGCGCGCGCGCGCAGTGCGCAACTGTACACGAGCCGAGGCTGCTCTAACATCCGACTCTCCTGGTAAGCGTCGACTGTTTTAGCTTCTGTTTTATTTGTTTCCTACTCGATGTCTCGAGCTGAGCGTTTGGGTTTAAGAACATTAATTTGTGTTTTATGATTTCCGGGTTTGTCGCTGGCGTGAAAATGCGACATAATTTAAACTTTGATTAGAAAGGCTTTTTTTGGCTAGTTTATAAGCTAGCTGCCGCGTTACTTTTTAAGCAACTTTAAAACGAAAGGACATTTTTGTTTTTGGTTTGTGATACGTGCCTAGACTGTTTAAGTTAACGCTAATGAATAATTAAACGTTTACTAAAATTAAACCAAGTTCCACCTTATTAAAATTCCTAATTATAATTAAGCTAGTGGAGTTGTTGAAGTTTTGCCGAGTGGCTAGCTGTGACGTCACAGCGGTAATGAAAACCAGGTTACGGTTATAACGGTAAGTATTTTTCTGGCTGTTCTGTGTAAAACCCAAGTTTTATTAGATTGTCTAAATATTAACATCTCTACCTAAATAAATGGCCTTGGAATCACAAAATCTACTGGACCCCTAAAATAAAATAAAAAACAACAGAGTTTAATATTTTTATAAAGTAGTGGCTGTTTCAGTGACAGTTTATTTTTGTTCCTGTTTAAGCAGAAAGAAAATCTAAATATTTGCATTTTGTAAAAATGCTAATTGGAGCTTTTTGAGTTGAAGAAGATGAGGAACAACTGCATCATCTGGACTAAAGATTTTAATGGACCTCATCCTTTTGTGTTTTCAGTCATCTCCAGACTAAAAACGCCTCTGCTCTCTTCTACAGATCAGCCAAGTATGATGAAAACTCCTCCTCCTGTTTCTCTGCGGGTCAAACGTAAACATGTTCATCCGATCAGAAAACATCTCTGCCTGAGCAGAGTCACTGGGACAGATGTCAGGAGCTCTCTGTGGAAGGTTCAGCCCAAAATGCCCTCGACTCTTGTCATCCAGCGACGGGAGATGACATCATTTTTACACCTGTTTGGTAAATACACTAAATGTTGCGGCAGGTGGTTGGAACTCAAGTCCTCTGTTAGTTTTTCTGATGGTCTGACGTTTGTTGTGGTTTCAGAGGATCAGCTGATTCGTGACTTTCTGAGGATGGATTGTTGCTTCAAAATAACAGACAAGGTGAAACTTTCTCTGAGAAAACAATCTTTGATAAAGTTTCTCGGAACTTATCCCATCCTTTTCCCACTTCCTCAGTACCTTTTAGCCATGACCTTTGTGTACTTCAAACGGGCTCGCTTCACAGTCGCTGAATACACCAGGAGGAATTTTTTCATTGCTCTGTAAGTTCTGAGATGTTTTTTTTTTTTTTGGTTCTACAAATGTTTCTTGTGGTAAGACGACATCAGACTTCACCTTCTCTGTCTTTAGTTACCTTGCCAACACGATGGAGGAGGACGAGGAGGAGAGCAAGTATGAAATCTTTCCATGGGCTTTGGGCAAGAACTGGAGGAGGCTGTTCCCTCACTTCCTCAAGCAACGAGACGAGCTGTGGGCTCGCGTCCAGTACCGAGCAGCTGTCAGCAGACGCTGCTGTGATGAGGTAGCGAAGCTTCCTGAAACCCCGGCTGATCAAATGCTGCTTCTGTGAGAATTCTGTTTATTCACTCGTTTGGGTCTGTCCACCAGGTAATGGCCATCATGTCCTCTCACTTTGTGTGGCAGCGAAAGCGATCTGATCACCACAGCGGTGCCCAGCGGCAGTACGCTGATCAAGCCCCGGCCCACTTTCCCAGGGGACCCCTTGCCTCACCCATTGCCTGTTCACTCTGTAACTGTGGCAGCAGTCTTCATCACCTCTCCTCCCCTTCCTCCAGCTGTTTGTCTGCACAGGCTGTGGAAAAAAGCCACCCACGCCCGTTTGCTTCTGCTCTTTGTCTGGAGCTCACCCCACCGAGGACCTCTGCCTCTCACACCAAGGAGGTGGAGGACAAAAACCATCGCTGCCCTGAGGAGGTTACCAGTAGGTGTCGCTGATAATGGTTTAACTACTGGTGCTGAAGCTGGAATATGCTGCATTTACTTAGATGTGGCCTCATAATAGTGGTAGGGCTGCTCAATTAATCGAATTTTAATCACGATTACGATCTGAGTTTTGAACGATTATAAAAACAAAACAAGCCGATTATTTGCTCCTCCCACTTGCGCTGCCCTGAGTTGCAAATGAAGCGCTCCTCCCACATTGTTGCCAACTTGGCGACTTTGACTCTATTTCTAACAGCTTTTCAGACCCCCTTCTTGACTTTTTAAATCTTAAAAGTACCTAGCGAACACCTGAGAAACATCTCTGGTACCCTTAGCTACTTTCTGGATAACTGTCGTCGACATTTTCTGCAGGTTAGCTAAACACTCCGCCTGCGCTCCGGACCGTTCTTCAGGACATTAGGAAAGGGAATGATGTAGTGATGTGTCAGTCGCTAAAGAGACGGCTCTCAGAGCCGGCTCCCTGTTGGAGTAACCAGAGTGAGTGACACTCACCGTACCTGCGGACTCCTGAGCCGCTAAAAACGGCTAAATGTGCGCGTGCGGCGTGCTAAACACACGTGCAGCTTGCCACAGATTGCTGAGACCGGGTTGGGGGGTGGGGGTGCAGCTGTGGTTGGGACAATTATTACATTAACTGATGGACTTGTAAATAAATAGTTTATAAATAAGGTAGAAATAAGTTCCTCACGCTGATAAATAATAACTAACCTCTCTGAGGACACGGTGCTAGTTAACTCTCCTACAGCACCTTGACACGACTAAATAAATGTTATGCAACATTTTGTGAACATCAATTTATTTGTTATAAATGCCACTGTATAATTCTTGCTGTCAGTATTTTCAAGATATTGGTATTTGGGTCTGTACTGGTTAGACTTAAATGAGTTAAACCAAACCCTTGGGTCATAAACTATGAGCTATAAGTATGTTGGTCTCTTTATACTGGGAATCAGGAGTTATTTTAGTGATCATCTTGTTTATTTATTTTTGTCCTGATTGTGCCCTGAGCAATTTCATGACTGAATAAAAACAAATAAAATCAACATAAATTGAAAAATCATCCTAAATAATCGACATCTCAATTTCAGTCACAAAAATCGTGATTATTATTTTTGCCATAATCGAGCAGCCCTGAATAGTGGTCTCTTAGGCTCTGCCCTGGATCATCCATCTTCTAGTGGATCCTAAACATATTTAGGAATCACCACAATGGTGCAAAAATACAGTTTTTATGTAAAAATGTTAGAGTTTGAGCAGCTTACCAAGAAAAAAATTTCCTCTGAAACCTGTTGAAAAAACTGGGCAGAAAGAGAGTAAAGAAGCAGCTGATGTGAAAATTATTTCTTGAACATGTAATCCTAAAGAAACAAGTGTTGGATTATTTTTCACAAACATCTTAATCAGAATTATTTCCTTTCGCTGGTGTTTCTGTCATTTGTGTTTTTCAAGCTTTTTAAAAAATTTCTTTTCAAATCCAAATTTTTCATTTTGAATCATCTTCTAATAAATGTTGTGATTTTTATCTCGTGGGTTTTCTTCTAAACTCTTTCCTGTGCTCTCCTTTTCCAGGGGAGTCTTCTTCCTGCGAGTCCTCCTTCGATTCCTTCGACTGGATCAAGGAGCTGTAGAGATCCAGCTCGCTCTTCTCTCCACCCGCTGAATACCTCTGCTTTTATTCCTCAGCCGGATAAATCTGCTTCTCTTGATTCCTGATGGTCGACGTTCCGGCGGGAACAAAGTTTTCCTGATGGTTTAACTGAAGTAACCAGCATAAAATGAGACAAATCTGTGATGATAGTTCCAGCCACTGTTCTCTATTTATTAGTTTATTTATTTAACTTATTTGTACTTTTACACAACTTTTGAATCTGTGGGTGTGTACGCTCAGCTGTCTGGGACACACGGGGCTCTACGGGGTGTGTTTGGTCTAATGCTGTCGGAGTTCCAAATAAAGGCTTCTTCATTCCAGCCTGCTGTAGCGTTCCGTTACGGATCCATGTGATCCTAAAGATTCAAATATGAATGAGAGTCCACTACAGTTGGGTTTCTGTCGTTTGTCAGGTCTGGTCGTAGCTACTGCACAAACTTCCTCAGCTTCACCAGGAACGCTGGGAAAGAAAACAGAATTTAGTGAGTTTCCTAAAAGAAAAGGAATAGGAGTCCACAAAGATCTGACCTGTGTGTCTCGTTTGTTCAGGATGAGGTCTGGCGATGTAGGGAATGTTCCCAAAGGCCGGGCCAAGGTCGTCATCTGAAATGAGGAATTCGGATGAGTCTAAGGTCCTCCCCTCAACCCGATCAGCCGAGACGTCTGAAATCACCTGTGTCGGTTTGATCCGGAGTCTCAGCTTCCCGCCCCAGATCCGAATCCAGGATCGGGGCTTTCCGGATGCAGTGCTGCCCATCCTTCTGCAGAGCCGGAGCCACCACCCAGTCCCGGTCCGAAACTTCTACGATGCGTTCGCACCTCAACGGCAGGGCGACGCAGCGGATACCCTCGAGTAGATCGACGACCTGTGTGATGCTGGAACGGACCCGCGGTGAGAAATCAGACGATTTTAATCAACATGAAGTTTTTGTAACGATCAGGATAAAAAAGCTAAAAACTGGAAAAGGGTCGGAGTTCTCTGGACTCTCATCGCCAGAGCCTTAGAGGCTAGAAATAACTGATCTCACCGAGCTTCGCTTGTTTTCTTATTCCAGATTTATTTTGAACTCCGAAATAAGAGAAAATATTTCCTAATGTTATTTTTTTTAAGAACCTAAATTTGGTTTGAGGGGTGAGGAAGCAGCTGCTCACTTAGCGATGTAAACGGCACAGACTCCACCGGGAAGCAGGTGTGGAAGCACGGTGGCTAAAGCCAGGTGAGGGTTGAGCAGGTCCAGAGCAACCTGCAACAGAAGCATCCATCAGATGAACGAACGGTGTTTCGTTTGGATTTCAACAGACCAACGTTGTCATCCGCCCCTCGGATGTGAGACCAGACACGAACCGAGTGAAAGCCCCGTCCAGCGAGGAGCTCTGAGGCGGTGCAGAGATCAGAGATGTGGAAGTCAACGTTGTCGGGCCACTGGTGACCTCGTCGTAGAGCCCAGGAGGTCCTCCAGCGTTTGTAGTTCAGCACGGCTCTCCTGTGGTGATCCTCCCTAAGCTCCAGGCTCAGAACGCTGCCCTTAGAGCCCACTGGAGGAAACAAACACGTCACTTTATGCTGAATCTGTAAGGACGCAAACGATTTTCCACACCAGGTAGATGCCGCATCGGTCCTGATGAATGAGACCGACCTGCTCTGGACAGGAACAGGGACATGGCCCCTGACCCGGAGCCCGACTCCAGCACACAGTCCCCCTCCGTCACATCCATCATCAGCAGCATGATGGCTGCATCCTGAGAACAGACACCCTCCATCAGAACTCTGAAACGGGTCAGTTTGGGTTGTCCACATGCTCTACCTTTGGGTATGCGATAGCAGGCCCTCTCTTCATGTTCTGGACAAAGTCCTCCAGGCTGGGTCTGCGGATGAAGATGGGGATGCCCCTGTTTGTCTTTACGAAGCGTCCTGCAGGATGCCCAGCGAGCTGATTGTGAGGGATGACCCCATAGCTGCTCAGAAGGCGACCCCCTTCCTGAAGATGGAACATCTTCCTGTACTGCACTCGATTCTTTCTGTGCTCGGCCATAAGAAACTCTCCAAACATCAGCCCGCGCTCTCCGGGATGACTGGGTGACCTCCGACCTTCCTCTGGAGAAGATGGAGCTTGTGTCTCCTCCAGAGGTTCTGAGGCCGGTACCTGGATGTCTGCCTCTCCATCCTGCTCCTGTCTCACAACATCCTGAGGCAGCAGGCTGCTGATCCTGTCCAGCGGGGACAGCGAGCGTGTCCTCCTGGACAACACAGCCTGTCCGGATGTCAGCTGGTGAGGCTCAGAACCGTTCTTCTCGTCTGACCTCACAGAGAGAGAGGGAGAAGTCCGGAAGTAACTCGTTTTGGTACATTTGACCAGAATCTTCCTGTTGCGGGTTCGAGAGGAAGCGGTCAGCAGTCGGTGCAGAAGCGCGGCCATGACCACAACTTCAACGCACTGGAACGAGATTCGGTCCAGGAACGACTGAATCGAATCTGACAAACACGTTCACTTCAGAAATAAATATGTAAAATTAAATTTTTCATACGAACAAAAATCTAATCAGGTCTGGTGTTTACCGAACAGGTGAAACGCAACCAAAAGCATGTCTGAAATACGTCATCAACCAGCGACAGGTGTAGTAAGTACCAGCTGCCAGCAGAGGGCGACATTACAGCGTATGAACTTCTAACAACAGGACAAACTCGGTTGACACGCAGGAATAATGTGAAGAACATCGTTTAATCTCCACATGATTATGAATTTAGAGTCCCTAAAATGTGTTTGTTGCCTTTTTATCACCTGAGACTTCTAATTTTCTGTTTAGGACCACAAATATCCAGAGAAAAGGCCCACAGCTGCAACTTTACCCCTAAGATGAGTTGTTGTTATCATGTTATTTTTTGTTTGGTGTTTAAATAAAATATTAAAACTAATATTAATTGGAAACTTGTTTCAATTATTTGCGTTTTTATTGACGGATGTTTTTGAACATTACATGAACAGAAAATGGAAAGATCTCAAGCGGAAAGACTAACAAAAATGATTTAAATATACATAATGTGTCAGTTATTTACAGTTCATGCAGGATTGACCTCAGTGACTTTTATTTTTAATTTATTTAACCTGAGTGAGCAGTAAGTCATTGGCAGTGTTGCT